AAATTCGAACTCTGTCTGCAAGTTTTGATTCTTAGCATTATGTATGAGTTTCATAAAATTTGGATGAGGAAAACTTAAGTTAGAGTGCGGAAACGAAAATGGGACGGACGGAAGGACAGAAAGACAGAAGGAGGGAAGGGCGGACGGTCAAGCGTAACACTTAATGCCCCCATTGCCTACGATGGGGGGATAATAAAACTAGATGTGTCGGAACGACACGAATGGCTCCGCTCGCAAAAAAAGCTTGAAGCCATTTTTATGAGTGGGAATTTGAGAATGAAAGTCCGTATAACTGTTATTTTCACGAAGTCCAAAGCCCGTAATTTCGGCACAAATCAGTGGAGCGGAACCAGACGTACACTCGATCTGTAACTCATCATAGTAGACTCACATACTAAAAATCAGCTCAATATGTGAAGGCGTTTAGAAAAAAAGTCCGTTTAACTGCTATTTTTATAAAATTTTCAAAATCCAAAGCCCGTAGTTTCGGCAAAAATCAGCGGGGCCGAACCAGACGTAAACTCGATCTGTAGCTCATCATAGTAGACTCACATAGGAAATAATCAGCTCAATATAAAGGCGTTTAGAAAATAGTCCGTATAACTGCTATTTTTATAAAATTTTCAAAATCCAAAACCCGTAATTTTGTCAAAAATCAGCGGAGATGAACCAAACGTACACTCGATCTGTAATTCATCATAGTAGACTCACATATACTACATATCAGCTCAACATGTGAAGGCGTTTAAAAAAGTCCGTATAACTGTTCGTTGCGGAATGACAGAATGACGGAATGACAGTATGACGGATAAGGGTAAAACTATATGGCCCCGGCAACTTTGTTGCGGGGCCATAAAAAGCAGTTCATGAAATAATGTTAACACCAACTTTTGAGGTTAGATTTGACAAAACAGGTAGACGACAACAATATAACTTATGTGACCTCACAATGAACAAATTTAATGATCTAGCAGCAGATATTTCTGACATACTTAGTACTATATCTAATACAAAACCAGAATCATCATTGGATAATCAACAAGATGATTGATTGATTGTTGGTTACTTAACGTCCAGTGGCGAATATTGCATGCATGTTCAGGACGAGAACAAATTAACAATAAATACAATAGGTAGGTCCTATTATGGAGGCCGTCCGGGATACAGGTCGGGGAAATTTTTACTACCACTGGAAAATGAGGTTATATTGGATAGGGTGAGAAATGTTGCCTTGCAACAAGCCACCTACGGACCCCTCAAAGAGTTGAAGAGAGCAAGGGACTCTCTTTACACAAGGCATCGGATTTAACATCCCCATTCTGACAGGGTAAATCTAACAAGAGGAGGAGGACAAAAATAAATAATAATAGGGCTCTATGGCTCAAGGAAATGAAGGAGACTAAACAAATATACATGAAATATCTAATACAAGTTAACAAAAAAAGAAGGAAATGTTAATAAAAGAAAGACGACAAGTGAAAACTAGAATGAAGCTGAAAAAGCGAAGCCTGCAAAATCAAATAACTTGAATAATAATACAAAGTAAAACTATAGTAATCTGGAGAAATAAATAATATTCTCTACATAAAGTTTGTCTTGTAAGTTTAGACTACGTTCTTTTATCCCTTTTTCTCGATAACAACACACATGGCCATTCTTATGATCACTACACAGAATATAAGAAGAAATTGAAAGACTTCTTTTTGAACAGCCCTCGGTAGTTGGAATAAACATAGACATACATGAAGGGGTTCAAAGGAACTCTTGACAAAGAAATATAAACAATAAATATAAAGATACAATAAACTACCTGGATGTACATGTATATATATCATGTCTACTGGAAACAGGGGTATTAAACCAGAGTAACACAGATCGATAGAAGTTACAACAAACCATAACATTTATAGTTCAGAAGGGATATCACAGAAAAGAGTGTACCTTAATAGCAGAAGATGCAAGTGAAATAAATCAACTAAAAATGTTCAAACAATTTATAACACCTATCCATTAATACAGAAAGCAAGAATTACCATGTTTTAAACATATGTGGTCCAGTAATCGAATCTAGAACACAATTAAGACTTCTACAAACAGCTGAATGATTATAAGGATTTTATATAATGGCTTATATGACATAATTCTAGCCAGAGACTTTTAATTTCATAACATCAGAATTAGATGCAAAATCAAGTAGAATACACACAAGAAGAACTACGTTAGATCTCTTTAACAATATAGTATCTAAAATAAATGTAAAAGATACACACAAAAAACATAGAAATAAAGATAAAAGTCTTCACATGGACAAATTTAGAACAAAGTCAAGCATCTAGAATAGATAGAATTTACATATGGAAACAACTATGTAATGAAATAAAGGCCACTACACACCATTGCCAGTTCAGACCATAAAGGTTACAACTGACTTATAGGGAATAAGCACATACAATTGAGTTCAGAGTTATGAAATCACTATAAGAACAGGGATAAACTGTTGACACAGATATATGACTCGCCTGTGGGCATAAAATTCAGAAAAGACAATCTGATGGACAGCAACATCACTAACTAATTCAAAGTCGCTGGCCCGTGAACTAGTGGACAGGGACACGAAATGGCCAACAAACTGGAATGTACAGACAGTAATGTAAATTTATAGAAAATAGTGTTGTCTATTGTAAGTAGTTCCTATCAAACTAACTTAAGCAGAAAAATTAACATTGAAAATTTGTAATTAATTTAGTCACTGGACCGTGACCTAGGGGACAAGGCCTCAAAATAGACGTCAAACTCATATGAACTGATAGTAATGCAACTTTATAGAAAGTATCATTTATCTGTTACAAGAAGTTCCTATCAAACTAACTTAAGCAGACAACTTAACTTTGAAAATTGCTAATTAATTCATTGTCACTGGACCTTGTATTAAACATACTAGTGGGCAGGGCCTCAAAAGAGTCGTCAAACTGATATATGTACTGATAGTAATGAACTTCATACAAAATATTATTGATCTATCACAAGTAGTTCTTATCAAACTAACTTTAGCAGAAGAACTTAACAATTGTTGACAACGACATCGCCGGAAAAACAATACCTTACGCAGGCGATACAAATATGTTAATCTAATAAGATAATTGGGAGTTCTTGGCAAAAAAAAAAAAAATAACAATCTGAGTGCTATTGAATGAAAGAAGTAAATCAAAGTGCTTGTAAGCACTGAAGGGTAGATTGCTTTAATTTATCAGTCCGAAGTAAAATTAACATTGCATTGTATAAAGCATTGGTTGTAGTTGATTTAACTACAATCACTGACAAAGGAAGATAACTCCAATTTTAAAGATTACTTAAACAATGACATCATTGATATTTTTAGAACATATATTAGATTCCTGCACCTTGCACAAGTTATGTAATTTTCATGCCAAGTTTAACATCATTTTGTATCATAAATATCTGATCATATATTTTATTGATAAATTTCTGGAAATGTCCATGGATAGGATGTATAGAATGTTATGAGCAATGCACTATATTTTATGCATATCAAAAGTAGTGATCAACATTGAAAGATATAGAAATCAAGTCAGTTACATAGGGTTTTGATTGCATTTCATGCAATCTTTACCCAAAAACAACAATAAAAGCAGATGTAGATGACTATGATTATTATTTTGTGGGTTGATTAACTTCATATTATTAGAGCAGAAAATGAATTAAGGATGTTCACTGCTCTTGTTTTTTCCATGTAGTGCCATTTAAAATATGGCTAGCTAACCCTGTCTTTTCCTTTTATAAGTTTTTTTTTTATAGAAAAAGGTGCCAATGTTAAATGTATGAAAAATCTAGAGAAAATTATTTCCCATCAAATTTTCAATGGCTTATATCTCAAAAACAAGGACACAGATCTTTAATTTTTTTCTGCTTTTTTACTTCCGTTATTCATATACTCTCTATTTTTAACAGTCTTTTAAAAAGCTTGCTATTTTGAAACAGAGCAGTGAACATCCCTAAGGATAAATCCTGTCCAAAAATAAAGCTGAGTTAAAACTATTTAAATGTCTTTGTCCTGCTTAATTTAACAGCTAATAGGTCATTTCCTCATGTAAACAAACACAAATAAAATTGTTAAGTATTGTATCTTTCAATGTTTTTTAAAATTCTTTACCTCATTTATCGATTCAGTAATAAATTAAATATAAAACATTTAAACAAATTCTCTGAGAGCATGTTTCTTAAACTCCTAATTTTTAAATTGTTTCCAAAACTTATGTTGGTACAAAGGTTCAAGGATTTACAAGAAATATGGAACAAAATAGTATTCCATTAGGTACAAAATGGTATATATGACTTTGGCCCATATGGTAACAATGGCTATGTATGGTATGAAATGGTTTTCTTTCATAGTATGAAATGGTAAGTTTGGGTATGAAAATGCAATGGTATAAAATTGTAATGGTACAAACTAACTAGCTTATTGACCTAGTGACATACAACTATAAGGATTTCTTTACTCCATTGAGCATTATCAAACCTAGTTTAAAGAGACAATTTTTCAGTCCCTATTGTTAATTTTCTTGGACTCTTCTTACGAAGTTACAATGTGTTTATTTCTCAACTCGTTCAATATGCCGTGACTGCAGTGAACTTAAGATTGTGTAGAGAAATTTGACAACTATTTTGTTTATGAGGTTAGAACTAAGCATAACATGATTGATTGATTGATTGTGTTTAATGCCACTTTCAGCACTATTGGCTATATCGTGGAGGTAATTATTATTGGTGGAGGAAACCAAGGGCCCCGGAAAGAAAACCATCAATCGTAGACAGGAAAAGTGACAATCCTAGTTAATTAAGAATGGTGTCAAACGCACCTGCCACATGCAGGGTTGGAACTCACAATCTCAGTGTTGCCAGCCTTGTGATACAGCAGATGAACTACTTATACCACCCGGCCACAGAGGCCCCTTAACATAGCAAAAAGCAGCATAAAATCATAAATTTACAAAATTTGATTTATTATAATCAAGTTCTTGGAGCTCCAAATGCATCAGGCATTCTTTCAATTGAATATCTGAAAATAAAAAAGATTACAATTATCAGTTATATATTGAACAATTTACAATGACATATGATTTAAAATTTTAAGTACACAGTACAATGCTAATTTTCTAAATGAATATTCTGATAGAAAATACGCTAACTTTAAACACTTCAAAAAGATAATTCTTTCAATGTTTTGACAAATCATCAGCAGTGTTTAAAAACTTGCAGGTAATTGTAGACATTGTATTCTATCAAACTGTAATAATCATTGATTCTCAAATCAAAAGTTCGTTGTCAAATGGCAATCAAGTGTATTATAATATTAAGCTGGAACTGATTACTCAAGGGCATGTGAGTACTTAATCATGTTTAATTCAGAATATAAATAGCCATGTTGTTTCTGAGAATAAAATGATGATGTGTTTTTCATACAGGATTCAGTAAGAACCAATGTTGAAGCATTTCCATAAAGACTATTTAAACAACACAAAATGAGGAAAGTTTGTAGATGGTCACCAAGTCATCATTTCTATAAAATGAGAAAAGATTTGACTATGTTTCTTTTGAAGGGATAAAAGGGGAAAATATTGTTTAAGACCTAAATTAAAAAATAACAAAGCTTTAACCTTTTTAATGACATTATTTGGATGTTAGCAAGACACTTTTCCAGGCACTAAACTTAAATTGTTTTCTCCAGGGGCCAGCTGGGCCCCAAAAATATTTTTTCAGGGGTCCAGTTGAAATTTAGGGGCCCAACCAATTTTTATACTAATAAAAAAAACCTTAAATGTACTTTTCATATACTAATAAAACCTTTTTAGGTAATCCTATATGTAGCTTTTGAGTCTGGTAAAGATTATGTGTAATAACTTTATAATATTTGAATTATTGCCACGAGAAATATAGCATAAGATTTGACAGATTTTAGTACATTTCCCACCAAAATTGTCTCCCTTCAATTTGAACTTCCTGTTGACATTTTGACAATATGGCAGTTCCTATGAATCATTATATGCTATTTCAAATCCAAGCCATCCTCTTATAGTGATGATCAAAAATATTATTCAATTACTTTTTATTGAATAAACTAGATATTTTGATATTTATTTACGAGATTTTGCATTTCGTTTTTCATTGACGATTTTGTAAATAGTGATGCATGGACAAGTTATCGTCAAATACAGGCCTGTAATGACACCCTAGACAACTGGAATGCATCTCTGATTCAACAGTTAAGACGAAAACACTAAACAATAATGAAATAATTGTAGAAGCTTTAAAAGAGGGATAAGAACACGTGTTTAGAGAAGGGGTATATGTCAAATCGTGACTTCGCATCGAAAACTTAGTTGTCTGACCAGGTTCAGGTTATTAAAGTGAATTTACTGCCAGAAATTCTCTCTTTAATTTTCCCCTTTGACTAGACAATTAGGTTTCCGTTTGGGAACAGTTTTTGTTTATATCGCAGGGGGAATGGTAGAAATTGCCAGCTGGGTGATCAGGATGACAAAATATATTCGCCCAGCTGAAAATCTGGGCGACTGGGCGACCCTTAAGTTTAGTCCCTGTTGTCTGTTAGATAATCACAACATACCAGTACTTGATAATTTTGTCTTGCATATTTGCTTCAGGCCTTTAAACTTCTTAAATATAAATAAACTGTTGACACAGAAATATTTCTTGCCTGTATGTTAATTTGTGATTAAAATGTAAATGTTGAATCTAAATGGCAACTCTTTGATCATGTAAAGTATACAAATGTTCAAAATCAATTAACCATAACTGAAGGGGGAGATCCAATTATCCTCAATGTAATATTTCATGGGATAAGGCTGTTGTTTATATTCTTTTTTATTGAAATCTTCATGTAAAATGGCATTATTGGTCAAATATATAAATAATGACATGTTCATGACATAACAGGGATATAAGAAATGACATTTCTGCACTGAAGTGTCCAGACTTTATTTCCAATATATAACTCCCATCATTTTTTACAATTTTTACAATTACAGAGACCAAATAATGGCTGTAATAACACCTATCAGAGAAAATTTTAAACATCCTCTTGTAGTCTTCATAATCAAGGAAAGCCATAAAAAAATCCATATTTGCATGATTTTCTACTAGTAAACTATTTTGTCTGATCTACAGGAACATTGGACAAGATTTTTAAACTAAAACCATAAAATGATTGTGTTATTTAAAGATATAACTCAATCAGTCAATTGATTTCTGAGAAGGACATTTTTTAGAAGGTCAACAAATAAACAATAAGGAAAAATACACCTCAGTGTAAAAACTAGGCAAGGAATTATAAAGTTAATGGACCAAAAAACAACAGCTGCTAAATGATGTTGATGAATCCCCTTAGCATGTAAGTTAAAAGTTGGATTATTTGATTCTACTAAGAGATGAAGAAGAGAAAACAATCAAGGTGCTGCATTAAAGTAGTTTACAAGTTTGTAATTTACTTTTATACATAGAATACTCAATGGGCAGTTTGATGACTCATCAGGAACAATGCTGTGTTAATTTACTCACCTGTGTTGTTGTAAGTACATAATAGGTACACCAGGAATTTTTCGTATTCTTCTCTTTAGTTCTTTATCACATGTTGCCACAATGTAACACTTGTGCTAAAAGAAAAGAAAAAAAAAAAAAAAAAAAAGTATGCAAGATTAAGTTAGACTAATTCTATTTTGAAATATGATATGGTTAAAAATTGAACAATATGATAACTGTCACAAATTTTTTCCTGAATAATAACCTATTAAATAGATTTGTAAAAATGCTTTTTTTATGACATCTACCAATAAAATTAAGATATAGCAAAATCAATTTGATCAGTGAATTTTACATTGGGATTTAAAACTTACAATTCCAACATGTTAACTTAATTTAGTTTGTTTGAGGTCAAGGGACAGTAAATGGGCTATGTCACAGATTTTGGTAAAATTTTGCATACAACTTTGGCTCGTTGAACATAACTGAAAATAGAAAAAATAATGCATTTATCTCTTTTATTTTCTGAAATATTACCGATTGAATTCTCTCAAAATAGGTAAACATTTGTATAGAAAGCGTGTAAAATCGGCGAAAAAATGTTCTTAAATTTGTCTTAAAATAATCTAAACTCCAATTTCTAGTACATAGATTTTTCTTAAAAAATCTTATGTTGTTAAAAATCTGTGACATAGCCCATTTACTGTAACTTGACTAAAAGAAAAACTTCAAAAAACTTTTCACAAAATGATAATTGATTGTTGTTTGCTAATTGCCAGTGACATATATTTCAGTTAATCAATTTTGTAGGTTTAGAAAGTGGGTCAACCAAGATGAAGGGGGGACATTTGAACTTTCACTAGAAAAGGTTGGGCATGAAGGGTATGGACAGAAATTATGCTTTGAAAGAGAGTTATTGCAAGAATTCTTATACATGCACTATCCCAACATGAGGCATCAGATTTATCATCTCCATTCTGACAGGACATGGCTGTGTGTTTGTACATCACAACATGGAGGCCCTCAGCATGGATCTTTCTGCCAGATTAGAGAAATACAGGTTGGCAATATTTCTATGTTCAACCTCGACTTTTCCAGTCTGCATTTAAGGCTAACCAATTTTTCCTATTTACTTCTTCAAATGTGAATTCTCAGGTGTGCATTTAATATTCAGTTCTTTTCAAGTGTGATTTAACCAAAGTGCATGAAAATAATTCTTTTATGTGTCAGCCTGTTTTTTAATTGTTTTTCAACCTTTTACTGAGAAGCTTGAGTGAGTGTGAACCTAGTATTGGGAGAAGTAGCAATGGATACTGCATTATTCTATACCTGTGTTACACGCTGCATTATACAATCATCTGCATATGTTCCTTTATGTAAACATGGTATTCTTTGGAACCTTGGGTCTTTCACGATTCTATAAAGATATGATATAACTGATCGTAAAACAACAATAATTTTTTCAATTCAAGCAAATGAATTCCATTATGTACATAGTTTAGAATAGGTTCTTGTAAGCCTTTTATAAAAATTTAAAATGAATATCAACTTAAACGTTAGAGTAATTATAAGAAAAAAGATATAATTCTTTTATTTTACAATTATCTACCTATACGCTTCAAAACTTAATCTATTTTTTTCATTTTATGCTATCGCTGAAAGCATCATCAAATGACTTTGCTATACGATGTCTCACCTCAGAGCAACTCTGTATTTTCTGCCAAGTTTTTCCAATTCTCCTAAAACACAGTCTGTTATGTAAGGAATACCTGTAATATTTCCACAAAATGTAGTCAGTTTAATAATTCTATAAATGTAGTACTGAGAAATCAGTAAAATACAATGGCTAATTGACAATTTATCAACATAAACTGTTATCACAGAGATATATCTCGCTTTTTTGTAATTTCAATAATGCAAATGTTGAAATTAAAATAGCAACACTTTAACATGTAAGTTTTGCAAATATTCAAAGTCAATGAACCATGACTGAAGGTACATGGCTAAACAATCTCCATGGAAATGAGATGTGCCAATGCTAATACAACTGCATACCGAATACCATTGACTTGTCATTAGAAGTTCCTTTTAAACAAACCTAAACACAAACTCATACATGTAAACTAAGCAAAATTTCAAAGTCAATAAACCATAACTGAGGGGGCGGGGTCAAATAATCTCCAAGGTAATGAGATGTGCCAATGCTAATACAACTGCATACTAAATATCATTGACCTACCACTAGTGGTTCCCCATAACCGACCTAATCACAAACTAATACATGAAAACTAAGCGAAAGTTTCAGGGTCAACAGACTATGACTGAGGGGGCGGGGCCAAATAATCTCCATGGAAATGAGATATGCCAATGCTTATACAACTGCATACCAATTATCATTAACTTACTACTAGTGGTTCCCCATAAACTGACCTAATCACAAACTAATACATGAAAACTAAGCAAACATTTCAAAGTCAATAGACCATGACTGAGGGGGCGGGGCCAAATAATCTCCATGGAAATGAGATATGCCAATGCTTATACAATTGCATACCAATTATCATTAACTTACTACTAGTGGTTCCCCATAAACTGACCTAATCACAAACCAATACATGAAAACTAAGCAAAAGTTTCAAAGTCAATAGACCAGAACTGAGGGGGCGGGGCCAAATAATCTCCATGGTAATGAGATGTGCCAATACTAATACAACTGCATACCAAATATCATTGACTTACCACTAGTGGTTCACCATAAACTAGACCTTATCACAAACTAATACATTGTTGACGCTGCTGCCGCCGGAAACAGCATACCTATGTCTCGCTTTTTGACTCTGTCAAGCGAGACAAAAAACTATAGTACACACAAGTTGTTCAGTAAAAATCACTCATTGGCAAATTTTCACTTTAAATGCAGGTGACTGTAGGTATTTCCATCTGTATATTCTATAAGTTATATAAGTTAAGGGTTGAAAATCAGAGTGATTCCCTTTTCCTTCATAACTTATATAAGTAACCAACCAGTTAGAAAGTGAATTATTGAATCACTAAAATAGCTATGAAAAGAAGATCACTTTCAGCTGTTCCATGCTAGACAATTGAGTACACCTTATAACATTTCCATAAATCCAACTGAATAAACCTACTACTTGCTCTAAATGAGAAACTTGTTTATAAACAAATAAATTGCTTCGCCTAGCGCAGCTGGATACGACTGCAGAGGTCCAACCCTGAACAGTTGGGGCAAAAATGGACACAATATTTGCGCTTGATACAGGTCTGAATTTGGATTGTAATTAAATATTTGACATATAATAGGTTTCTGACACAGAATAACTGTAGTCAAAGAACTTAGAATTGGTTATATGATTTGAATTTATATTAAATTTTTTGCTTTTGTGCAATACACTATGCAGTTGTGAATTATACCCCTCCCCCCAAAAAAAAAATAAAAAATTTTTTTACCCCCCATTTTTTTTTGCTTTTGTGCATTACACTATGCTGTTGCGAATTGACCCCCCCAAAAATTTTTGAAGAAATTTTCTTTTTAATTTCTCAAATCTGAAATGAGAAAAAAAAATGTTCCCCCCCCACAATTTCTTTTTTACCCCCCCCCCCCCCCCCCCCCCCCCCCCCTTTTTCCAAAAAAAAAATTCTTTCCCTCAAGATATGGTCATTATCTCAATTCAAATTTCCAATGGAGTTTGCAACCATAATTACCCATTTAAATACATCATAAAAGTCTTAAAATAGAAAATGACATACATAATCATGTCTAAAATTAATATTCCTTAATCAGCATTTTTAATAGTAACTTCTAAAAATAAATTGACAGCTAATCACCTCAAGACAATACAACATTTCTTTATACATAATTTAAAAGCAGTGTAAGGGAGGTAATCCAAACACAAAACATTGTACTTAAAAGTAATTGTCTATTAACAAGGAAACCCTTGTTTTTGCCCCTTTTTTGCCCCTAATTCCTAAACGGTTTGAGCCATTACCCCCCCAAAGCCAATCCTAACCATCCCTTTGTGGTATGGAAACTTGTGGTATAATTTCAGAGAGATCCATACACTGTTCCACAAGTTATTGTCTGGAAACTAGAAAAATGCTTATTTGGGCCCCTTTTTGGCCCCTAATTCCTAAACTGTTAGGACTATAACCCCCAAAATCAATCCCAACCTTCCTTTTGTGGTTATAAACCTTGTGTTTAAATTTCATAGATTTCTATTCACTTATACTTAAGTTATTGTCCGGAAACCAAATGTCTTCTGACGACGTGATACCAATATACGATTGCGGTCGTATAAAAATAACAATTATTTGGGATTCAGTCAACCATGAGAATTAGGCCAGGGTTAAGTGTAATAGTTGAGACTGACCATGAGCTCTTAATAAAGTATTCATAGACTAGATACGATCTGTCTTATTATTCTTAGGGTTTGAGTAAATAAACCCATAGTGAAACAAGGATATTATTGAGAAAACTATGACAGCTAGTTCATAGAAAACCTACATCCACCTCAGTCTTTTCTTTTTCCCAAAATGAAATATGTATAAAAGAAATTGTTGTATGAGATGTTAAAGGGGCATGAGCAACGAAATATTGAAAAAATTAAAATATGATTTTATTTTGTTCAATCGTTAATGAAAGTGAAATAGTGAAATAATGATTTACTTTTAGAAGCCAGTTCGGTTAAATTTTGTCAAAATAAGCTAAGAAACATCGCTGATGAATTATTCACTTGCAAGTGAATAAATCGACCTCATTGAATCCCTATTAATGTGACCTTCAATTTAACCGCTTAGCTAGAGATGGGTTAGGCATAAATTAGACGTGTTCAGCTGTTAAAAGGAAAAGAATGTCCTCTGTATTCATGTTTATATCGGGTTATATGACTGTCGGCAGTCTTCATGGGTCACCTTAATAGTTAAAAGATGGCGTCTAGACTAAAATAAACACGAAATGCTGATACATATTATCGATTCCATGCATCGTAAATTATTTATTTTAGACTTTTTATCATTTGGATATACGTTTTTAGTATGTAATAAATCAAATACAAAATGTATGAGAATTTGAGTCAAATCGGTGAACATAAATTTGACAGCTAATGCTCCTATAAGACAAAAGATTTTTCTCTTCAATATATTTGTTATGGAATGTAATAATCTAATATCCAGGCTTCAAATTTTTTTCTTAAAAAGCTATCTTAACATTTCCATGATTTCTCAAGTAATCTATTTCTATTTTACCATGATCAATTTACAAAGCAAGAAAATAAGAGGCTAAGATATACTTCCTACCAATATTTAGAATTCCACAGCTATTCACAGCCCTACTGTGCTGATAATAAATTCTGAATCTTTCTAATGATTCAATACACAACCTCATTATTTGAACTGATCATCCCAAACAACTAAACACATGAATACAATACCTTACCAGTAATTATTCACTTCTAACTACTTACATTTAGCATATAAACAATCCATCATTGACTGGATGATATCCAGTTTGTTCTTTATGGAAAAGTTGATGAAGTTTGTATCTACAATCACATGATATGGAGGTCCTAACTGAGTGTTGTACTGGAAAAACAATGCTGATGAAGCCTGTGGTCTATAAGAAATAAATATGAAATCATGTTGTAAATGTGATATTACCAGGTTATTGACTTGTGGCAAAATATTCCATTACCAGCAGACATAACTAGAGGCTCTCAAGAGCCTGTGTCGCTCACCTGACTCTACTTTGGTTTTAGAAATCATGTAAAGATAGATAAAAATCATAACAGATATGTTGAACTAAGTCCCCCGCTGGCGGCCATCTTGGATGATGGATCGGCTACAAAGTAACAACACTTGGTCAGCACCTCATAAGGAACATTCATGCCATGTTTGGTTCCATTCCATTCAGTGGTTCTCTAAAAGAAGACATTTTGTATGTATTTCCCGTAAGGTCCTATGTTAAACTAAGTCACCCCCTGGTGGCCATCTTGGATGATGGATCGGCTGCAAAGTAACAACACTTGGTCAGCACCTTATAAGGAACATTCATGCCATGTTTGGTTTCATTCCATTCACTGGTTCTCTAAGAGAAGACATTTGTATGTATTTCCCATAGGGTCCTATGTTAAACTAAGTCCCCCGCTGGCGGCCATCTTGGATGATGGACCGACTGCAAAGTTACAACACTTGGTCAGCACCTTATAAGGAACATTCATGCCATGTTTTGTTTCATTCCATTCAGTGGTTCTCTAAAAGAAGACATTTGTATGTATTTCCCATAGGGTCCTATGTTGAACTAAGTCCCCCGCTGGTGGCCATCTTGGATGATGGACCGACTGCAAAGTTACAACACTTGGTCAGCACCTCATAAGGAACATTCATGCCATGTTTGGTTCCATTCCATTCAGTGGTTCTCTAAAAGAAGACATTTGTATGTATTTCCCATAGGGTCCTATATTAAACTAAGTCCCCCCCTGTCGGCCATCTTGGATGATGGACAGACTGCAAAGTAACAACACTTGGTCAGCATCTCATTAGGAACATTCATGCCATGTTTGGTTCCATTCCATTCAGTGGTTCTCTAAAAGAAGACATTTGTATGTATTTCCCATAGGGTCCTATGATAAACTAAGTCCCCCGCTGGCAGCCATCTTGGATTATGGATCGGCTGCAAAGAAACAACACTTGGTCAACACCTCATAAGGAACATTCATGCCATGTTTGGTTCCATTCCATTCAGTGGTTCTCTAAAAGAAGACATTTTGTATGTATTTCCCGTAGGGTCCTATGTTAAACTAAGTCACCCACTGGTGGCCATCTTGGATGATGGATCGGCTGCAAAGTAACAACACTTGGTCAGCACTTTATAAGGAACATTCATGCCATGTTTGGTTTCATTCCATTCACTGGTTCTCTAAGAGAAGACATTTGTATGTATTTCCCATAGGGTCCTATGTTAAACTAAGTCCCCCTGCTGTTGGCCATCCTGGAAGATGGACCGACTGCAAAGTTACAACACTTGGTCAGCATCTTATAAGGAACATTCATGCCATGTTTTGTTTCATTCCATTCAGTGGTTCTCTAAAAGAAGACATTTGTATGTATTTCCCATAGGGTCCTATGTTGAACTAAGTCCCCCGCTGGCGGCCATCTTGGATGATGGACCGACTGCAAAGTAACAACACTTGGTCACCATCTCATAAGGAACATTCATGCCATGTTTGGTTCCATTCCATTCAGTGGTTCTCTAAAAGAAGACATTTTTATGTATTTCTCATAGGGTCCTATGTTAAACTGAGTCCCCCGCTGTCGGCCATCTTGGATGATGGACAGACTGCAAAGTAACAACACTTGGTCAGCACCTCATAAGGAACATTCATGCCATGTTTTGTTTCATTCCATTCAGTGGTTCTCTAAAAGAAGACATTTGTATGTATTTCCCATAGGGTCCTATGTTAAACTAAGTCCCACGCTGGCGGCCATCTTGGATGATGGATCGGCTACAAAGTAACAACACTTGGTCAGCACCTCATAAGGAACATTCATGCCACGTTTGGTTTCATTCCATTCAGTGGTTCTCTAAAAGAAGACATTTGTATGTATTTCCCATAGGGTCCTATGTTAAACTAAGTCCCCAGCTGGCGGCCATCTTGGATGATGGACCGACTGCAAAGTAACAACACTTGGACAGCATCTCATAAGGAACATTCATGCCATGTTTGGTTCCATTCCATTTATTGGTTCTCTAAAAGAAGTCATTTGTATGCATTTCTCATAGGGTCCTATGTTAAACTAAGTCCCCCGCTGGCGGCCATCTTGGATGATGGATCGGCTACAAAGTAACAACACTTGGTCAGCACCTCATAAGGAACATTCATGCCATGTTTGGTTTCATTCCATTCAGTGGTTCTCTAGAAGAAGTTCAAAATGTAAATAGTTAACGACGACGACGGACAAAGCCGGACGACGGACGCCAAGTGATGAGAATATTTTGTATTCTCTTATTTCCTGATTCTTAATGAAAAAAGTTCTTACTGTAGTTTTTTCTAAGTTAGAAAGAGGATAATTTATAAAATGCAGAGGTACACATAAATTTTGTTTATGGTAAGTAATATTGTCATAAAAATAAGCCAATGTGTAAGAAAGTAAAGCATAAAACAAGCATCCATAAATGATCTTTTTTAATATTCCAACAATCATTGACAATAAGTTCAAATGTACATACATATATTATTACACTATATAACTTATTATTACATTGTAACAAAAAGTAATAAAAAAAATAATAAAGACTGCAAAATGGAGTCAATGATTATTTTAAAACTCAACCATCCTTATTCATTTGTGCATGTTTTATGCATGGAAAAAAAGATAGGGACAAGAAGTAGTACAATACACAGTAACAAAAATCAATCTAATTATGTTTGTTTGGTGCCATTTCTTCAATTTGCCCTCATTGTTATTCAGAACTGCATTTATAGTTAATTGTGTTAAATTACCTACATGTAGCTTTATTACTTTCATCTTGTAAAGATTTGCAACTACCGTACCTACTCGCTTATTAGTCGATCCGACTATAAGTCGCATGTCCTTTTCAGCTTTAAAATCTGAGGATTTAGTCTTGACCCTCGTATAAGTCGGCCGAAATCGGTAACTTTTTTTTTGGTTGCAGACAGTTACTGATCATCGGTAATTGTGTTAAATTACCTACATGTAGCTTTATTACTTTCATCTTGTAAAGATTTGCAACTACGGTATTAAAAATATTTAAAAATTTCTCATTGTTGACGGCTGTATGGTGACATATAGCTGCTTATATCCACATCCTTTGGTCTCTGTCAAATAGTTCTCTCAATGGCAATCATACCACATTTCCTTTTAAACTACCTTTGTACTATAAGGTGAAGTATTTGATGGATTGATGGGTTGATTGCTGTTTAATATCCATTGGCAAAACAAATACATAATCAGGAAGAGAACATGATATGAATATGTACTTACAGTTCTCTGATTTTCATGTTCTGTGGATCTGGCTTTTTTCTTTTCTTTTTCTCTCTGTCTTGAGCTTTTCTGTAACATATATAGACATTGATATATTTATATGGTACCAAATGTTTGAGATTATCATTAAGTTTTATATAAATTAGGGAGAATTGGAACTTTTCTCGCACTAGCTACTGCTATGTTAGAGTGTTTGAATTGATTATAACAATGAATGGTTTCTACATATTTCATCACATTTGTTTTTAAGATTTTTAACATAATATTTAACAATATTTCAAATTCATGTATTGTAGAATTCTGCCACTGTTGAAAGAAGTGACACATTATTATGAACTTCTACTGGTCCTAAATATCATATTTATACTAAGAGATACAACACATTTTAGTATCAGCCATTGCCATTGGAGACTTTTGGATATATAACTGCTTTTGTTCAGTAGTCATGAGGAAGTTAGTATGGGGTCTGTTATTTCACATTCTAACTTGTCCAAGTGCATCTGCCCTACATGTATGTTTCTTTTTAATTTTAATAACTTGAAATATAAATTCATACAACTTGCTCTTTTGGATAAGAGATACATTTGTACAATTTAAAGTTGACATCTGCAAGCAAACTATACTATACATTGATTAATTAAAATATTTTGCCAGTTTGTTGGATCTCTATATATAGCTAGCTCTGGCATAGATAAATTACCCCCGAAATAGCAATTAAGACCTGCTAAATTGCAATTGCATTTATTTTTATTTCAACTGTTCTTTGCCAATATTTCATAACTATTAAGACAACTATTGGTTACATACTTTCAGTAAATGACATTTGTACATCATACCTTTTTACATCAGACATTTGTACCTACAAAGCATTTCTACTTCAAAATAATTGTATGTTGATAATGAACAACTTACATTCTAGTATCCTTCAAACTTATCATCCTTTTCATGACGGCAAAATTCCTTGTTTTCTTTGCTTTTCCCTGCAATAAACATAAGTTTTTTAACTAAGCTACATGCTAACCTTCATTGGAATAGAATAAGGTGTGTTTACCTTAAGTGTAACATTTCTGACACTACAGCTTTTTCACAAGTACTGCACATGTGGTGTCCACATTTAAAATCATACAAAGCTAATTCTTGATTACATGTACCAATACATACATGTATATGTGTGGGTTTTTTTTTTATCTTACTCATCAACATAAAAATATGTTGACAATAATAAATTCAATCATTGTGGTGTTTTAATTGCAATATCAAAAGACATTATATCTGATGAAATCTCAGAACTACAAACAAACTGAGAATGTGTGGGCTAAGGTGAACATAGTAAACTCCTGAAAATAAATCCTTTGTTGCTACTACAGACCACTTTCAGACACAGGTTTATCACTTGAAAAATTGAATGAATCACTAAATCGCACAAATGGGAATTTAGAATCTACAATAATTGTAGGAGATTTCAACCTTGGTCATATAGACTGACAAATGCTATCAGTAATTCCTGGAAAGCCAGATAATAACTGGAGGTGAAATAATACTTTATCTTATCTTAACGCACCAAACATGGAGGTAATGCCACCTATTGGGGATGCTGATCATGACATTGTATTCACTTAATGTACAATATCATTAAAAACACAAAAAAATCCAGCAATTCTATAGGGCAAACTGGGTAAACATAAAAGAAGGCATTCACCTACTAGCAGAAAAGATCAAAATAATTTATGACAAGAGATAACACAACACAAAAAACATATTTACTCCTTGTTTTCTTCATCCAATTAGCTACAAATTTCAGATTGTGACTTTAGAATTATATACTTTTTACAGACTTATGAGTTATTCAGTTACATTCAAACAGGTTAAGAACAAACCCCCTATATGGTGATAATACCTGTATAGAGGGATAAAATTATCCCTCTATAGAGGGATATATTTGTTTAGACTGGATTTAAAGCAGGAAGATGGCAAAAATGCATTTTCTAGTTATATTGGCTATTTTACACTAGTCATTTTGGGGCCCTTTATAGCTTGCTGTTCTGTGTGAGCCAAGGCTCCGTGTTGAAGGCGTACTTTGGCCTATAATTGTTTTCTTTTTACACATTGTGACTTGGATGGAGAGTTGTCTCATTGGCACTCATACCACATCTTTTTATTTCTATAAATCTATAGCATTATAGGTATCAATTATTGCACTTTACTAAAAATTGGGATGCCCAGTTTTCTGCTAAAGTGACAGAACTTGCAATATATTGTGTACCTATCTGAACACCTGATCAACAACAATAGGGACAGTTGACCTTTAAATTTTATGTTAAATCTAACAATAGAAATCTGTTCATTGACACGATTGAGGCATAACTGAGTGGAATTTACCTGATCATCACAGCTTTCAATTACGATGAACAATAGATTGTATATTCAGTCAGTTTAGCAGTAAACTAGACATGTGCATATCAATTGGTGCATCCAATGTTGCAGGTTACTGCCATAATAAGTAGAAAATGCCTGTCAAATCAGGGTTGGCAAAAACCCGGGTTTTACTGAGTTTTACTGGGTAATATGAAATACTGGCCTGAATTTTAAAGAGGATTAATCACAAATGCAATACATTAAAGATTTTTATAAAAATAAGATATAGTATTTTAATTTATAAGTTCACTTGTTTGAGACTCTTGATATAAAGTGTATATATCTGAGAAAATATTAATGGTCCAGCAACTCTAAGACAAGTGTACATGAAGACACATAAGAAGTATGTGAAAAGCTTTTCTTAATAATCCTCCTAAAAATCTATCTAATCGCCATTCTGCCTAGATTGGTCAAAGTGTTGACTTAAAAGTTAAAGTCAAAGAATTCAATTTGTTTTTTTTTAATAAATATAACTAATATTAAGAATTAACAATTATATGTAAGGTAAATTACTTTTAAACATTTTTTGTTCATTAATAAAAATGTTTTACTAAGTTTTAGCATGTGTTTATGTACATCACTAATTAATAAGTAATTATTCAGATTATAACACAGATTTGTTTATATATAACAATAATCAGCCTTTTGATTTCTATAAGTGTTCATGGCCTGTCCCCTTAGGGTGTTTATTTAGCAATATGATTGTATAACAATTAAAATTTACAATGCATTTTTTCAAAGTTTCAAATTGAATTATTGAAAGAAAGCTTGGAAATTAACAAGGTATCCTGAAATGTGCAAAAAATTTTATTCTGCCTACATAGAATTAGTGGAGAAAAGGAAGAAATTGAATTTTCAATCTTCAGGAATGACTCTCAATGGTCATGATGGTTATCTGTATAAAAATAAGCTTGAAAAATCATTTTACCCAGTATTGCCCAGTATTACCCGTTTCTGGGAGTATTGCCCAGCCTGGAAAAACCCGGGGGCCTGGGTAATACTTTGCCAACCCTGTGTCAAATACATATCAAACATTTGACACCATTTGAGTGCATTGTAATAAGTTGGTACGAGTAAGTAATGGTATGAGTTTAATGTGGTACTAGTTTGCTTTTAGTGGTATGAGTTTGCAATAGACCTTATTGGAATGCATGTCGTTTCGTAACCTGGTCGTTTCGTACCTGGTCGATTCATAACTACGTTGTTTTGTAACTGAGACGTTTCGTACCTGGTGTAATTATATATGGTTATAAAGTGTTAGTTTAAATGAAACAGTTAAAGTTATTATTTAAAAATGATCAAATTGTTCATCTAATAATAACAATATTGTAATATTTTTAATTTAAAACTTTCTTAAATCTTTTTTAATTATTGGCTAATTGGTAATGACGCTCGGTGACAGCTTTAATGGTTTTATGACAACTAATGACAGGTAATAAAAAGTAATTACAGTAGGTGTAAAGTGATTAAGTAGATTAATGGCACACGACCTCAAAAAAATAATTATTTTCTCCTTTTTTTTCACTTTTACATGCAATTGCATAACCCTCCTCCTTTTTCACCCAGGCTGGGGACCAGACTTTGTTTTCATACAGATTGGAGAGAATGGCATCTGTGACAAATTATCTGTATCACACACAGCATCAGAGATTTTACAACTCGCAAAAGATGTCAAGCACTTAGGTGTTCCTTCTGTAGTTATAGGCTTCAACATCGTCAGACTAAAAACAAGAAACATGAAAGAAACAACTTATGATAGAAAAAAAAAGAAGATAAATAAAGAACTAAGCAACATAAAGATGAGTGGTGTCAAGTATTGGAGACATCAAAGCATCAATAAGTCTTTTTATTAATTTTTACGTAACCTACGACTCATATTGTCATTATATATATTGATATAAGGTTACAAAACGTCTCAGGTACGAAACGACCTAGTAAGTTACGAATCGACTAGTTACGAAACGACCAGGTTACGAAACAGCCTGCACCCCTTATCGGTATTTGGAAATCTGCACCACTTGACCCCAGAATCTACGCCTCTTGAACTATTGACGTCATACCACAATCACTTTTCCATTGTGGCGTCATATATTTTCTATTGAGATGTGAAAATTTTAGGGGAACCTGTGTGATGTCCAGTAATCGCGGACAAATATTGATAAGGTGTATGGTACGAGATATTCAGATAACTATAATTCGATCAATATCATCATGGATGTTTAGGTTTTCGTTACCATACACAGGAGTATGATGAAATTTTTCTCGTATATTTATCCTTATATCTGTATTTACGATGCAGGCCGGTAATTCCGTTCGTTCCGTAACAAAATGTCTGTTGTTTTGAAAATTACATGCATGTTAGAAACTCATGGACTTACACAGTTACAAGTCGAACAAAATTGCCGTACTCAACCATATAAAACCATGGCTAAAGACTAAATGATGTATCGACATGAACCGAATTTCGTTATTCTGTTTAAAGTCGATATTACTTGTAAGTCATTATCATGATTATATTATAAACATTGCCTATCCTTACCATTTCGACGGTTTTTTTGTAAAGGGTGATAACTCTAATTGCGAATGAAAACTATGGACCGGATTCTGTCAATTTTCCGTAATTTTATGTGATTATGCAAATCGAATTTTTTTAAAGATCGAGGGTTCAATTATTTATTTCATCCTTTTCATTTTTTCATTATTCCATCGTGTATTCCAGATTTGTTTTTGTCAAAGCCAATGTTACGAAATGACAATCCCCTTTTTCTGGAACTTCTGCTTATATTAAGTCTACCTACAGAATCTGTACAAATTGATTGAGCTATAGTCATTGGGGTATTCTTTTAAGTTTTGACTCCTATAGATTTCGCTATTTTTAAAACAAAGTCCATATGTAAGTGTTGAAAACTTTTTAATGGAAAAATCAAATCAATGACCTCTTTTCTGAGTGACTTTCTTTATCGTTAGGTACTGAAAGGGGTGGTATGTGTATTTGGGCAAGGACGTATATTAGTTATACGTCCTTGATTTGGGTGAGTGGGAATCTAAATTAAAAACGATAGATTATTTTGATACTTTCCAAAAATGTAGTTTATATTGTGCTATTTTAAAAATATAATAAAAAGTATGGGTCAGTGAGCTTTTTTTCAGGCAACAGGTTGTGCAAAATTTGAAACATTGGAAACTAAACTACCAATTTAGTGTGAATAGCCTCGGAAAGTAAACTAAACGATAGAATTTTTCAATAAATTAAGATAAGACTGCTCTTATTATGTGCTGTCATAATAAGAGACGATTTGGATAATAGTTTTTTTTCTTGTTATAAAACAAAATAAATTTACTATATATTCATTTATAAAAGTAGATTATCTGAGCTATCTCCCCTTATTTGGCTAAGCCACAAGTTGAACAAAATGAAATTTAAGAAAAATATTATGTTTTTGTAAAGGCAGAAGTTATAAGATAAAACCCAGTATTTTCTTTATTTAAATGAAAGTGTTACAAATTAATCGTATTCCTTTTTTTAAATGGATATTTCTAGATCTAGACCGATTATTTTCTGCTATTTTACAATCCAAGATGGCGCCGAAGACACCCGCTAAACCTTTTTACAGTAGGAATTCTAGTATACACAATCAAGGAATTATATATATAGATTCTACCACTGCATCGAGTGTGATACGATATTTATCCACTCGAGACAGTTAAATTTTCAAATTTAAAACGCGAGGCTTGCCGAGCGTTTTAAATATTTAAAATTTAACTGTCGAGAGTGGATAAATATCGTATTACACGAGATTTGGTGGTGGAATCTGTTTCTCTAATGATTTTCAAACAATACGCATGCAAATTTATTCCTTCTTTTCGAATGATCTGCAAAAAGATGTGTTCTTTCTATGTGACGTCATCAGGCATGGTCGCCTTTTTTCATGCCGTCACAATAGGGATTCAGAGGAAAGCAAGAAAATTCGACGTCATAATCGGATTTTAACCAATGAAGAACTGAGATCAAACGAACCACACGTTGATTAAATTTTGTTTATACAATGGGTGCAGAAAGGGATAAATTGACGAAGAATTAGAGAAATTTAAATATACAATTCCTTGACCCAATTCACAAAACGATGAATCATTGTTTTTGTCCACAGTGGAAAATACGCTGGACTTGATAACCCAAGTATATTCATAAAAAAGGTCAACTATGTTTTCAAAAACCTTCAAAGTTTTTCGGAAAGAAAATTCAAATCTACTTTTCTATGTGATTTTAGCTACCATTATAATTTAAATCATCATCATTTGTTCTGTGCTGTTAAATACTATAGTCACAATCATAATTCTAAAACACTATAAAACATATTAAGTTCAAGTAGACGATCGTTTATTACTATATGTCTCTGTTTCGAGTAAATGCATAGAAAAGAAAAAAAATAAACTGTTCTTCTCCTTTGTTTTTTTTTGGCAAATGCGTGTATAGGGATTTGCGGCAAGGAAATATTATCGATAACCCCTTTTGCCAGTGCATAGAAAGTGTATTTGTTTTACATGTCCATCAGTGATGATTTCAGGATACCGCTTCATTATGCCATTGAGGTGCAATTAAAGTCTATTTCTTTTAAAAGTATTTTTTTTATGTTTTCTAATGGAAATCTTAATTGAGATTTACATTTTACAGTCAAATCAACCTTAAGGAACTTCGCTACTCTGGTTTTTTACTTTTTTCAGATATTCGGAATCCTCTAGTTTTATCCATGTGGTGTCAATAAAAATGTTGCCCGCTGACCGGGCCCCACTGACTTTTCTTTTCATAATGTGATAACAGATAGTTTGAAAAGTCATTATTTTAAAATCGTATATAATCCTTTTTATTTTTTCATAGTTTTTGAAAGAAAAAAGGTGCCAATGTTAAATGTATGAAAGATCAAGAGAGAATCATTTCCCGCCCAAGGACTTTAATCTATTTTTTAAGTTCCGTTCAGTATTTATATACTATCAAAGGCTTGATTATTGAAACAGAGGAGCGAACAATCTTAATATAAATAAATGAGATGCTGGATTTACGTCAATGAGACATCATCATAAAGTCACACCCACACAAAACAATAACAACGATTATAGACAGACATGTCAACCTGTAAATCGTCCCGAGTAATTCATGTAAAGTTGAGTTCTCAACGGAAGTAAATGTGTATTGACATGTAATACTTTACAAAACTTGAAGTACTTAAAATATACAAAAAGTTAAGCAAGCGGAGTTGTCCGATAGACTCCCTGAGTTATCATCTGAGGTTATCATCATCACTAATAGTTAACAAATTCCTATGAAGGTTAATTTATTGAGTTTATTTGCTTACCCACCTTATTTTACTTAATATCTCCTTATTACTATATATTTTTTACTCACAAGACATTTAGAACAGAAATGACAAAAGAGATGTTCCATACTCCAGGTGTATTCAAAATTTCAACACACATTTATACTGGCAACATCAATATATATCAAATCAATGCTTAAACATGATGCTTTACTAGTTGGGAAAATATGCCCGTAAAAGAAAATTTTTGGGGTTTGCTAGTTCAATTTAGAAATCGCGTGAAAATGAATATAAAACCAGGTCTGGCCCTCCCCTCTCCATTTATGCATGTAACCACTTTTCTCCCTTTCGATAGTTCCTGGATGATTCGCCTCTAATTTAGATTAACGAAACGAAAAACGGTTACTGTACATAACTCTGCAGCTAAAATACAACCCCTTCTGTGGTTTGATTTGTCATCGTATGATTTGTTCCGCTTAACCGAAGTTTCCTGAAAACTTTGTTATAAACAATGTCATAATATCTGTTCCTGTTGGAACAAATATTCTATACCCTTTATTACGTAAGGAAAAAAATATTGTTATATTTGTTCCAGTGGAAAAAATATTATAGAATATTTGTTCCAGTGGAAAACATATTTATAGAATATTTCTTCCATTTAGGACTAATGTTATTAAGGAACTACTATTTCGTGACGGTGGAAGCGTGCTCACCTCGAGTGCGGGAGGATGCGAGTTCCATCCCCGGCAGCGTCAAACAAAAATCTTAAGAATTGGTGTTTGCTGCTTCTCCGCAAGGCATGCGGCGTCCATATAAGCAAATACTGATCGACTCGTATTCAGAAGAATGTATCTGGGTACGGTAACATTTCTTCAGAAGAATGTGTCTGGGTAATATAACATTTCTTCCTGCGAAAGGTTACCTTGTGAACTAGCATGTTTAAAAAAAAAACCGGCCCATCGTATCGGCCTAGTAGCCAGAGGTCAAAATCGTTTCACTTTTTTAAAATTCTGCAATTATTTTATACAAAAACATTCCTAATACAAATTCTACTTCAGTCATTTATTTTCATCACCATCCGTGAAAACAATACATTCCGACCCGCTCTGTTTAGACCACTAAAATAATTGTTACTATAAACATTGTATAAATTTATATGAACTCACCATTTTATGAAGAAACAGTATGAGGTCTTGCTTTAATATGAGAACTTTTTAGAACTAATCAAGCAATCTTAAAAGACAAGGTTTAAAATAGGAAAGGCTGTGGGTTTGCAAGGAAAAGAGGAAATAATTTTGAGGGGGAGGACACGCTTTAGGGATGTGGGATGTAGGCGGTAAATAAGGGGGGATCTGGGATATAGGGGTACAAAAAGTGGGATGTGGGATATAGGGGATTAAAAAGGTAGTATCTGAGAGAAAGAAGGAAAAACAGCAGGAAGTGGGAAAAAATTACAAAAAAGCGGGATTTTGGAAATGAACACCCAGTGGCGGATCCAGAGGGGGGGGGGGGGGGGGGTTCCGGGGGTTGGAACCCCCCCGTTTTTTGGACGATCAATGCATTTGAATGGGGACATATGGTTGGAACCCCCCCTCCCCCTTTATCCTGGGTTGGGAACCCCCCCTTTTTAAAATGGCTGGATCCGCCCCTGACACCCCTTCAATAATGGTAAGCAAAGGTCTTTAGACAATCATCGCATATGTAAACACAAACAAGGGTCACGCGAGTCAATAAAGAATTATGGTCACTTGAACTTCTACAGTCTCATAGGAACCCCCATTTTGGGGGAGGGTATCTGTTTGTCTGTTTTATACACAGTCACGTCCCGACGGAATGCAATAAATTTAATTGAATTCATTATCCCGCGTTATGAGGGTGACTGACGTCTTTCCATTTTTTAAGTTGTCCCTGAGTTCGACCCATTGTGCACACAATACCTACCAAATTGGTTAACTGTTCACTATATATGTTATCGTCCTAAATTTTACTGAAATATTTGACACTGGACGTAAAAAACAACTGCAAGTTCCTTGTAGCACCCTTATACATGTGTATCATATCTAATGTCGGCATAGTCAGAGACTTATACTATGGTATTATATGTCAACGGTATAATACAAAAAAAAAATACCATTTCATACATGAACTCTGATAGAAATTTGATAAAAACTTTTTTACAGACTACCATCTCCTAAAAACAAAAGAAATACAGATAGTGGGTGCTTGTATTCATAACGGAAGAATTGTTTCACTATACTAGGGACAAGTGGTAAAAGTAACCGGATTTGTGTAAGTCTCTGGTCATATTGATTGATTCTTGACTTATAATAAAACACCATCATTTGTTACATCAGGTGAAGTTATAAAAGTTTCATCTTATGTAAACACGCTGAATATTTATACAAGCTAACCTGAAGTGATGATAATGACATGTTCATTTGTTACTTTCGTAAGACTGGATTTGACAGGCAATCACGTTCGAAAGTAACATGTAAGTTTATTTTTCCTTCCTTATCATCAGTTTGTCATTTTTAAAAGCCTTAAATATATTTTGTAATAGACATCATAGGTGGAGGTATAATAAAAGTCATTATTTGACACATAAAATTGCAAAAATAGCATAATAGTAAAAAAATTCAAGATATAAAAAATACTTATAATGAAATGGATGGTATAATCTGGTCAGTTTGTTGAAGAAATGTCCACCAGTGATGTCACTATCATATCATAAATAAGTCGAAATTGGCAAATTTGACCTAATACAGTCACTTTACACACAGTTCTTGAACAAATTAGAAAACCAAGGCCCGATTTTTTTTTGTGATTGTAACAGTTACGCTCTAAGCTGTTCATTTGTAAAGAAGGGAGATATCATGTCCATATAAAATGGAACAGCTACACACGAATGCATGGCACATTTTGTTTTCAAATTATTAAATATAACAGCTACCCACATATGAAAGGCACATCTTGTTAACAAATTATTGTTTTGAAGTTGAAAAGTGCCAGTTCTTGCTGCATCAAAATCGTTATATGAAGACAAAGGTATTGTTCTAATAATAGACATTTCTACTGTATTCTGTAATTAAAGATAGCTCAGATTGACAAGTTACCGTCTAGACTTACAATGAGATCTTCGGAAAAAAATGGAAAATTATAGTCCATTTCTATTATGTGCTCTTTTGTATTCTAATATGAATGTTATTTTTTATTTTTTATTTTTTAATTCATAATTTGTATGAAGATATTTTAACATTTTTTCCCCCTAGATACAAGTAAAGACTGAAAAAATATCAAAGATGCAAACAACATGCAGTCGCATTTCAAAATGGAAATGTTATAAAAACCTTGTGACATTAAGTGTTGGATGGATTCTCCTGTATTCCTCTTTCACATCAATTAAAGATTTATCAAGCTCTTTTCATCACCAAGATGGAATCGGATTAATTGGTATGGCAACTTTTTATTTTGGATACATGATGGCTTGTATATTTGCTGGTAGAACTGTCAGACTATTTGACGCAAAGGTTAGCATCAGTTGTACCTCTTTGTGTCAAATCCCGTTTCTCATATCAAATGCTTCACCGAAATTTTATGTATTGTTACCGTTATCATTTTTAGGAGGATTCACGCAATCAATTTTGTGGACAGCAAGCGGATCATATCTTGTTTGGATCAGTCAGACTATGTCTACAAATCAAAGAAACAATGTAAACAAAGTGTTTAGCATATTTTCTCTGGTAGTGTCTTGTTCTCCAATTCTTGGCGGGATGTCAACTGTTTTAGCGTTTTCGCTGTATGGAAAGGATCGACAACATTTTCAAAAACAAATTAAACAAATCAACACAACATTTGAAAATGATATTTCAAAAACTTTGATATTCAAGAGTAAATCTTCGGATAATTTGACAGATACAGAAGTCTGTGGACCAGGCGTTTGCTTCTTTGAAAATAATATACCTAATTTAGCATTGCCACGTGCCAAACTATACATTATCTTGGGGTTTTACACAGGATGTATGCTTGCTGCGTCAGCAATGTTTCTATTTGTGATGGATCGTTACATACCAGAAAAAGATGAACCAATAAAATACAAAATTTGTATTTCAGTAACCAATATCACAAAAATACTGTACAGCACAACGTTTGTGAAAGTATTTCCCTTGCTATTTCATTATGGTTTCCAAATGGCTTTTATGTCTGGAAGCTTCTTCAAGGTAGGTAAAACATAATTCTACTAGTACCGACTTACACGATCAAAGCCGTTTATGGTCAAAGTAAAATGCACCGAATTTAATGGATTCGATACTTATTTCAAGTTATTTGTGAGTGTACCTTCATATTTAATTGTACTTGATTGAAGACTTTAGCTTACAATTAAAATCATATAAAAAGCTTTTTCAATCGAACGAAATAAGGTGCGTAATTTCACATCCCATACATCCTAGGCAGTTGCCGTAAGGACACTTTTATTTGCCTGATACACCCAACACAACGCACTAAAACTGAATGTGATTGTACATTTATATATCCCTCAAAGCCAAACACGTCCCGTCCGTTTTAGACAAGTCAAGAGTACTATATAATAAATGTAAACAATATATTATACAATTTGATAGCTACGTGATCTGATTCGCATAACAAAAAATGTACATCCATGTACAAAATGTAAAAAAATAAAACTAATTAACTAACAAAAGCAAAAAGAACGTCAGCCAATTAGTCATTTCCAACCTAAAATAAATCCGAATTAACTGTTGTGAAGTATTAAGGTGTAACGAGAAGATTTAAGAGGCACTGAACTTTAAAATAATGTATATAAAAGGAAAATGTGTATGAAGTTAATTAACTTTTTTGGCCATCGAAAATCATTAAATGTTATAAATCTAACGAATAACAATCTCAAATTCTTCACATTTGCATGTTCCAATTCAAGAACCTTGTGGCTGTCTTTTTTGTTGTCCTTTTAACCAAAATTATACTAAGCACAGTCATCGAGATATATTTATGTATGTGTGTGTAGAAATATGATTTTATGATAATTAATCCCATGTCTTTAGGAATATGTTGGATGTAGATATGGTATAGAAAAAATAGGATATTTTCTGTCGGTATTTGGTTTTAGTTCTGCATTTTCATCAGGATTATCTGGTTTCATACATACAGGAACTGGACGGGAATACGTGTTTATGTTTGGTGAGTACAAGAAGATAATATATTCCCCTCAAATAGGCTAAACCATGACCATTGCATATATTTTCATCGTTGTGAACTTTCTAGAATATTTCCACAGAAATCATTGTTGGGCAAAACAAAAATGACCTTTTTATTACACAAGTGTATGGAATTGTTAGCCTCATAAAATACTTGTTATCTTTTTGACATATCGTTTTATCATGAAATTGAGGATAACCTAAATGTACTTTACATACTGATTGAGAGAAATTCAGAAAGTAATCTTTAATTTAAGGAAAAATATATGCACCAAGAGGATAGAAAATGGACAAAAAAAAAAAGAACGACCAACAAATCTACATATGTATAAGCAAACATATGTTTAATATCGAACCTCGACAGTACAGACATCTTCACAAAACGGGGGTTATATCGAGTGCACTAAAGGGCAAAAATGTCTTGATCTACATGCGGAACTCTGTGTGGTAACCCATCGTCGAAGCTTTAATAGTCAAATATTTCGTAGGATGGAAATGTTTTTACTGTCCACGCGGAAAGATCAGAATCTTGATTTCGTTCACAGTTCTGACCAAAACAGTCAATTGCAAAATTATCATACGTTTATTAGCTCACCTGGCCCTTTGGGCCAAGTGAGCTTTTCTCATCACTTGGCGTCCGTCGTCCGTCGTCCGTCGTCGTCCGGCGTCGTCCGTCGTCGGCGTTAACTTTTTACATTTTGAACTTCTTCTAGAGAACCACTGAATGGAATGAAACCAAACATGGCATGAATGTTCCTTATGAGGTGCTGACCAAGTGTTGTTACTTTGTAGCCGATCCATCATCCAAGATGGCCGCCAGCGGGGGACTTAGTTTAACATAGGACCCTATGGGAAATGCATACAAATGACTTCTTTTAGAGAACCACTGAATGGAATAAAACCAAACATGGCATGAATGTTCCTTATGAGGTGCTGACCATGTGTTGTTACTTTGTAGCCGATCCATCATCCAAGATGGCTGCCATCTGGGAACTTAGTTTAACATAGGACCCTATGGGAAATACATACAAATGTCTTCTTTTAGAGAACCACTGAATGGAATGAAACCAAACAAGGCATGAATGTTCCTTATGAGGTGCTGACCAAGTGTTGTTACATTGTAGCCGATCCATCATCCAAGATGGCCGCCAGGGGGGGGGACTTAGTTTAACATAGGACCCTATGGGAAATACATAAAAATGTCTTCTTTTAGAGAACCACTGAATGGAATAAAACCAAACATGGCATGAATGTTCCTTATGAGATGCTGACCAAGTGTTGTTACTTTGCAGTCGGTCCATCATCCAAGATGGCCGCCAGCGGGGGACTTAGTTTAACATAGGACCCTATGGGAAATACATACAAATGTCTTCTTTTAGAGAACCACTGAATGGAACGAAACCAAACATGGCATGAATGTTCCTTATGAGGTTCTGACCAAGTGTTGTTACTTTGTAGCCGATCCATCATCCAAGATGGCCGCCAGCGGGGGACTTAGTTTAACATAGGACCCTATTGGAAATACATACAAATGTCTTCTTTTAGAGAACCACTGAATGGAATGAAACCAAACATGGCATGAATGTTCCTTATGAGGTGCTGACCAAGTGTTGTTACTTTGCAGTAGGTCCATCATCCAAGATGGCCGACAGCAGGGGACTTAGTTTAACAAAGGACCTATGGGAAATACATACAAATGTCTTCTTTTAGAGAACCACTGAATGGAATGAAACCAAACATGGCATGAATCTTCCTTATGAGATGCTGACCAAGTGTTGTTACTTTGTAGACGATCCATCATCCAAGATGGCCGCCAGCGGGGGACTTAGTTTTACAAAGGACCCTTTGGGAAATACATAAAAATGTCTTCTTTTAGAGAACCAATAAATGGAATGGAACCAAACATGGCAAGAATGTTCCTTATGAGATGTTGACCAAGTGTTGTTACTTTGCAGCCGATCCATCATCCAAGATGGCCGCCAGCGGGGGACTTAGTTTAACATAGGACCCTATGGGAAATACATACAATTGTCTTCTTTTTGAGAACCACTGAATGGAATTGAACCAAACATGGCATGAATGTTCCTTATGAGTTGCAGACCAAGTGTTGTTACTTTGCAGTCGATCTATCATCCAAGATGGCTGCTAGGGGGGGCTTAGTTTAACATAGGACCCTATTGGAAATACATACAAATGTCTTCTTTTAGAGTACCACTGAATGGAATGAAACCAAACATGGCATGAATGTTCCTTATGAAGTGCTGACCAAGTGTTGCTACTTTGTTGCCGATTTACTGTTCAAGATGGCCACCAGGATATTTTATTAAATAACGGGACCAATATTAATCAAAATTTGGCCTCAATCATTATTTAGGTATCTGTTATGATTTTTATCTATCTTTACATGATTTCTAAAACCAAAGTAGAGTCAGGTGAGCGACACAGGCTCTTGAGAGCCTCTAGTTATAAGTACCTACACATGTATATACAGTTGCTTCGTTATTTTCTCGACTACTTGAGGGAAAAAATAAACAAGCGACATTAAACTATATATGAGACTTTCTAGGTGTCAGGAGTGCTAAGTATTTATATCAGGATATTATTTATTGCTCAAACTATTGCGACGTTTCAATTAACGAGAAAACTACATACCGGTATAACAATACGAATGCGAAATCTTACCTCTTCTCTTTAACATGCAAAATGAACAAAAATGATTCGTCAATATTCAATATTAAAATACAGGTTTTTTTTTAATTTTCTGAAACATAAAATTGATTTAAATTTTATTTATCTAGTTCCTGTCATGCCTTTGAATATATCTAGGTGCGCAGGTTTATCTGTACTCAGGGTAAATTTTGTAGTCTAACAATGCACGGCCATTTTTAATTTGTCGGATCCTTCTGATGAACATCAAAATAAACTTATTATATGACAACCTAAAGCGCTTCGAAACTATGATTTACATGAAAGAATAAGTATGCATGCACTTATTATTTTATCGCATTGAAATCATTGGTACAGTAAAAATATGTTTTTGAATAAAGAAAACACAAAATCATTTTTGATGATAAGTATTGTCCTGATGATATCGTATTTCTTTAACAAATACAGAATTTTATAAATTCCAAAGGTAGATAATACTTTTTACAGTGGATGACCGTGAGGGCATTCCGGTGTATTGCTATCGCCTAGATTTCCATTACGTAACATTCGTTTTGGGGTTTTTAACCGATCTATAAACATGATGAATACGAAGACATCATCAAGTGCAAACTAACATTCCTTATCGATTGTTATAAATTCATTTCTTCAATGAATACTCATCAAATACTTTTTAAAGAAGATAAATTAATAATATTAAAATGTTTTGTTGTATGTATATACATAAAAGTAAAAAATCATTAATATCTATGCACACGCATGCGGAAGAATATCTCAAGAACGTTTGCAATCTCAAGGAACGATAACTCTGCATGGATAATTAAACATTTTTTGCGGGAAAATACGAATGCCTACTCAAATCCATTCTATTAGAAAAATCGAATTATTACAGGAGTGTCCACCATGTACTTGCACTGCACTATTAACAATATAGTAGAATAGGATGATATACAAATGCATGAAAATTATATATACATGTAACTGTAATATACAAGTATTAATATAATATATAACAATAAACCAGAGTATACTGACTTGTATCACTACAATATGATAGTCATTACGGTGAGGTTGAATTCCCTGTCATTAATTTATCATCCACGCACGAACTTGTCCCAGAAAAAAATTATATCTGTACATTAACCTCACTTTCAGGTATAGAGATGTGATTTTTTTTCTGAGACAAGTGAGTGTCGGACCATCCACAAGAACTTGCGGTCATCCGATGTTCAGTACTTCAGTACTTTGATTATTATACTTCATGTCAAAATGCAAGATTTTGATTGGTTAATACGAGGGAGATAATTTATTCTATCCCATGGCAAATACTCGATTACACTTCACGGAGACGCTTGATCAATTGTTCGCTTTATCATAATTATACGGATGGTTGTTATCGGTGCATTACATTTGCACGCATTACCATTACATTTGCGCGCAAAAAATCATTACGTTTGCTCGCAGCTTTTGATTACATTTGCGCGCATTTATTTTACAGGTAAACTCAGATAAATACAGGTAGATTATATTTATCTATTTATGTAACAATAATCTTCGAGCAGGATAAGACGGTTTTATTATGGACACGCCCCTTAGTCCTGGAAATGGAAACAGATGAAAATGTAAATACATAGCAAATCTAAAGATTAAAGTACTGCTTTTACATGTCGTAACCTGCTGAATATTTGAAGCCCACTGCTTTCATGAAATACATAGATGGTAGTGATGCAAAGGTTAACAATGTTTTCTCGGGGTTACAATCTGCTCTATCACCCTCTTAGCTATGTGTAATTTATATAGTAATGTAGAAATTAACATTTATTATAATTTAGTTAACTTACATAATATGGTTATTGACTTTTTATGCATTCAAACAAACAAATTAGTGGCGGAAGATACCAATGGGAGAATCAAAAGTCATAGGTCAAGGAGAGACCGACAAAATCAAAGTAAAAACCGACAAAAAGACAAACAACGGTCTCTACTAGACTGAATTCACCAACACAAACGTTATGTATTAATGAGTATTGTGTACACGTTGTAGTTCTCATATCGATTGTCACTCAACGTACGGTCTTCAATAAACCTATGTATTTAGTATCGTTCTCATAACAGTGTGGACGATACCATTTTTTGGCGCGCTCAAGTCTCCCATTGAATGAAAGGTAAATGATTCAGTTGTATTTACAACAAAAGTACTACGGTTGTCCACACTGTTACAGGAATACCTCTTATATATAATTTAATGTATATCACTTTTAAGATGCCCAATGTATCTTTCAGCATGCTTGGCTGAAGTTGTAGCAGTTGCGGGAATGTTAATGTGGAACTATTTTTCTAGCTATATGACCTACACCATTGGGCTGTGTTCTTTGTGGGGGTTAGCTCATGGTATCTGGCAAACACATCTCAATGGTAAGTTCAAATTATTGTTGATGTTAAATCTATGTGATTGAAAATATGGCAACAATTAAATTTGAACTAACAGAATGTCCGTAATATCTCAATATCTGAAAAGTACAAGGCATAAGTAATATTTTCATGTAAATACCAAATAATAAGTTAAATGTAGAAAAAAAATCTCAAACGTGCAAAACATTCGACATTAACATGATAAAAATCGACCTGGGATAGCAGAACGTATAATAAAATCAAAGGACGAAAGGTTGTCTCTCATATTCACAATATGACAAAAATACGGCAAAAATACACTTTATGATTTATCATGTAATATATTTACGTTTAGACGTTAATCAAACAATAATCAATCAATCAATCTTAAATAAAAATAAGGAGATGTGATTTGATTGCCAATGAGACGACTATAGAACGAGTACATATTAAGAGAGGATAAACGCAAACCAAACAGCTATATATCCAACGACATCATAGGAGTTCTCTGTACGAATTCCATTTAGGTGTTTGACCCGTTCAATATCTCTGTCATAAATTCCTATATGATCCTGACAGCTACCAAAATTTCACTTCAAATATTCTTCTGTCTCATATTTAAGCTGTAAACTAACAATGATGATATTTAAAATTTATTACAGGATATATTGGAGAGTCGTTTCCATTAACATCTGAGTTTGCCTTTTCATCACTTAATCTGATTTTATCTCTTGGTTTAATAACCGGTTATAGTTCTTCTAACTATATATGTATGAGGACGAAGCTATATGTAACAGGAGGAATGTGTATTATTAGTTCTTGTTTCTTCCTGATTATGTCAAAAATAGCTAGACAAAAGTGTGCTATCAACAAGAACTTCAAACGAGTTTCAAAAATGAAGGAATTAGACATTTTTGTTTTCTCAAATGTGTCATCTAGACTAGAATGAAATGTTTATTAAAAAGTTTTGAAATATTTTGCAACAATTTCTCAGTGTTCAATTTCAGTGCTTGGTTATGGCGTGTTAAACGTGAAAATATTCATGAAATATATGTTCATAAAAATACAATATATATGTTCATAAAAACAAAATATATATAAAAAAATCAAAATATGTGTTTATAATAAATATATATTTATGTATGAAAATAATAATAATGTTCATAGAAATAAAATAGTATATGCACATGTATTTTTGGCAAAACTCCTAAAGATTAAAAAAGATACTGAGTTAAAACAAGAAAATTCAAAATAGAGACTTCACAAAATTGCAGAGATGGTAGAGGTTCAAAATGTGAATTGAAGCTATTTCAAATGTGCAACTTTATTTTAACTAAATAAACAAACAAAATAACAATAGCAATTTTCGTATCATGTACGCTTATGTCTCAAAATTGATCCTCTTTCACAATGCACAGACAATATGGCAATGGCAGTATGGAAAACATACATGGCATAACTGAGATGAAAAAAATAAATTCAGGAAAACTTTTTGATGCAGAGTTCTGGCTGGAGAATTTTCAAATGGGGAAGCGCCCGCACTTTTTATTTGACACTGTGTGCCAATTTTGCTTCAAATCGTGGAACCTTATTCCTTTATAAAGCTACTGTCCTACTGTACCCACTTTTATAGTCATTTTTTCATAAACATGAACACGTTTGGGAATTTTAAAATTATGGGCACGATTGGGCCACGGTTTATAAAAATGGCACGATTTGGCGTCCTTCATTAACTAGACATATTTGGGAGTAAGTGACGTCATATGGATACGTTTGGAGAATTGGACACGTTAAGGGGGATGGACACGTTTCTGAGTGTTACATATATATTCACGAAAGTAAAAATATATGTTCATAAAAAAATGTTTAAAACAAATAAATATGTGCATAAAAAAATGTTTAAAACAAATATATATATATATATATATATAGAAGTCTATAAAAAGGACCAACCAGCAAATTTAATATGTACCGGATCGTCTAGAATAGACGATACTGTGCAGATATGGAAAAAATTATATGATAAAATTGAGAATGGAAATGGGGAATGTGTCAAAGAGACAACAACCCGACCATAGAGCAGATAACAGCCGAAGGGCACCAATGGGTCTTCAATGCAGCGAGAAACTCCCGCACCCGGAGTCGTCCTTCAGCTGGCCCCTAAACAAATATGTATACTAGTTCAGTGATAATGGACGTCATACTAAACTCCAAATTATACACAAGAAACTAAAATTAAAAATAATACAAGACTAACAAAGGCCAGAGGCTCCTGACTTGGGACAGGCGCAAAAATGCGGCGGGGTTAAACATGTTTTTTGAGATCTCAACCCTCCCCCTATACCTCTAGCCAATGTAGAAAAACAAACGTACAACAGTACGCACAGTAAAACTCAGTTCAAGAGAAGTCCGAGTCCGGTGTCAGAATAGGAAACAAAAGAAAATAAACAAAAAATTACAATAATACATAAATAACAACAGACTACTAGCAGTTACTGACATGCCAGCTCCAGACCTCAATTAAACTGATTGAAAGGATTATGTCTTCATCATATGAATATCAGGCACAATCCCTCCTGTTATGGGTTTAGTATTATACCATCATAAAATATATGAGAAGAACATAACCCGTGTCATGCCAACAACTGGTTTTAGAATAAATATGTTTAATGATATATATATATAAGTCTATAGATTTTGCACAACGGTACTAATATAAATTGGTAATATACGAAGATGATATTATAAAATCGAGTTGACAAATATTTCGGCTTAACATATAGCCTTCGTAAGTGTCAATAATTTTAACATAGTAGTAATACCTCTAAGAAGCCACTTCACCCAGTTAGTCAGCATTTCAGACAGTCGGGTCATAAACTTGATGACTTTAACTGCATGAAAATCCTAGTGATTGAACAGAACATTCATTGGAGTGATGCCAAGCGACAGGTTCGGGAAAGCTTTTGGATAAAGGAAATAAATGTACATCATCCAAACGGCATCAATAAGAAATACTAGCAGTTTTATTTTTCACTCATTTTGGGATGTATAGATACACAGTCACGTCTATTAAGTATCGAGTTTTGTTTTATATTATGATGTTTAGGATTTGGGATAAAATCAATACACATACTAGCAGGTCGAACAACGGATGTTCTCAAACCCTGCTGACTGCCATTGGCGATTGCCAAATAAAATGATCACCAGGTGTAACAAAATGGATCTTAAATATTAATTAAATATCAAACAGAAAACAATAAACTTGCGGAAAAGATGGTATACCGCAAACAAAAGGTGCCAAAATTAGTACATCATATCCGGATTTCGACAATTAATGTCTCTTCAGTGATGTTAGGAATCGAAACGGTATTTGGAAGGCCATATAATTTACCTCAATTTAGGATAGACTCTTGAATATTGAAGAGTCGAAATAGGATGAACGGATCATGTATAAACCCGAAGGCAAATATAATATAAGCACAAACGAAAAAATATAAACAAGTCTAAATTGAAAACAACGTTCAAACCTATGATTGCGTTGGACAAAAACCGCAATTTTTTTTACGTGTGCATGCAAAACAAATTTCTTGGTAAAGGGGTCTAAATACAGCACAAACAACATTTTCCAAAAGAACAAAAAAGTAAGAAAGTATATTTTAACAAAACGCATTTGACTAGCAGGTCGAATAACGGATGTTCTTAAACCCTGCTGAATGCCATTGGCGATTGCCAAATAAAATTATCACCAGGTGTAACAAAATGGATCTTAAATATTAATTTAATATCAAACAGAAAACAATAACCTTGCGGAAAAGATGGTATACCGCAAACAAAAGGTGCCAAAATTAGTACACCATATCCGGATTTCGACAATTAATGTCTCTTCAGTGATGTAAGGAATCGAAACGCGAATTGGAAGGCCATATAATTTACCTCAATTTAGGATAGACTCTTGAATTTTGAAGAGTTGAAATAGGATGAACGGATCATATAAACCCGAAGGCAAATACAATACAAGCCCAAACGAAAAAATATAAACAAGTCTAAATTGAAAACAACGTTCAAACCTATAATTGCGTTTGATAAAAACAGCAATTTTTATACGTGTGCATGCAAAAAAAAATTTCTTGGTAAAGGGGTCTAAATACAGCACAAACAACATTTATATTAACAAGTCTAAATTGAAAACAACGTTTAAACCTATGATTGCGTTGGATAAATACCGCAATTTTTATACGTTTGCATGCAAAACAAATTTCTTGGTAAAGGGGTTAAATACAGCACAAACAACATTTTCCAAAAGACCAAAAAAGTGACAAAGTATATTTTTACAAAACGCATTTGACTAGCAGGTCGTCCAACGGATGTTCTTTAATCCTGCTGACTGCCATTGGCGATTGCCAAATAAAATGATCACCAGGTGTAACAAAATGGATCTTAAATATTAATTAAATATCAAACAGAAAACAATAAACTTGCGGAAAAGATGGTATACCGCAAACAAAAGGTGCCAAAATTAGTACATCATATCCGGATTTCGACAATTAATGTCTCTTCAGTGATGTTAGGAATCGAAACGGTATTTGGAAGGCCATATAATTTACCTCAATTTAGGATAGACTCTTGAATATTGAAGAGTCGAAATAGGATGAACGGATCATATATAAACCCGAAGGCAAATATAATACAAGCACAAACGAAAAAATATAAACAAGTCTAAATTGAAAACAACGTTCAAACCTATGATTGCGTTGGACAAAAACCGCAATTTTTTTTACGTGTGCATGCAAAACAAATTTCTTGGTAAAGGGGTCTAAATACAGCACAAACAACATTTTCCAAAAGAACAAAAAAGTGACAAAGTATATTTTAACAAAACGCATTTGACTAGCAGGTCGAATAACGGATGTTCTTAAACCCTGCTGAATGCCATTGGCGATTGCCAAATAAAATGATCACCAGATGTAACAAAATGGATCTTAAATATTAATTTAATATCAAACAGAAAACAATAACCTTGCGGAAAAGATGGTATACCGCAAACAAAAGGTGCCAAAATTAGTACACCATATCCGGATTTCGACAATTAATGTCTCTTCAGTGATGTTAGGAATCGAAACGCGAATTGGAAGGCCATATAATTTACCTCAATTTAGGATAGACTCTTGAATTTTGAAGAGTTGAAATAGGATGAACGGATCATATAAACCCGAAGGCAAATACAATACAAGCCCAAACGAAAAAATATAAACAAGTCTAAATTGAAAACAACGTTCAAACCTATAATTGCGTTTGATAAAAACAGCAATTTTTATACGTGTGCATGCAAAAAAAAAATTCTTGGTAAAGGGGTCTAAATACAGCACAAACAACATTTATATTAACAAGTCTAAATTGAAAACAACGTTTAAACCTATGATTGCGTTGGATAAATACCGCAATTTTTATACGTTTGGATGCAAAACAAATTTCTTGGTAAAGGGGTTAAATACAGCACAAACAACATTTTCCAAAAGACCAAAAAAGTGACAAAGTATATTTTTACAAAACGCATTTGACTAGCAGGTCGTCCAACGGATGTTCTTTAACCCTGCTGACTGCCATTGGCGATTGCCAAATAAAATGATCACCAGATGTAACAAAATGGATCTTAAAATTAAATTTAATATCAAACACAAGAGTGCACACGCTGAAATGTCTCGCCTTCTTTACTAATCATTGATATTATGTTGATAGTCCTAAATATAAAGCTTTATTACAACTGTCACATAAACTTAACATTAACCAAGTAAACTAAACATTGACCAATGAACCATGAAAATGAGGTCAAGGTCAAATAAAACCTGCCAGACTGACATGTACATCATAAAATATTTCCATACACCAAATATAGTTGAACTATTGCACATAGTATAAGAAAAACAGACCAAAACACAAAAACTTAACTATAACCACTGAACCATGAAAATGAGGTCAAGGTCAGATGACACCTGCCCGCTAGACATGTACACCTTACAATCATTCCATACACCAAATATAGTAGACCTATGGCATACAGTATAAGAAAAACAGACCAAAACACAAAAACTTAACTATAACCACTGAACCATGAAAATGAGGCCAAGGTCAGATGACACCTGCCAGTTGGACATGTACACCTTACAGTCCTTCCATACACTGAATATACTAGACCTATTGCTTATAGTATCTGAGATATGGACTTGACCACCAAAACTTAACCTTGTTCACTGATCCATGAAATGAGGTCGAGGTCAAGTGAAAACTGTCTGACGGGCATGAGGACCTTGCAAGGTACGCACATACCAAATATAGTTGAACTATTGCACATAGTATTAGAAAAAAAGACCAAAACTCAAAAACTTAACTTTGACCACTGAACCATGAAAATGAGGTCAAGGTCAAATGACACCTGCCCGCTAGACATGTACACCTTACAATCATTCCATACACCAAATATAGTAGACCTATGGCATACAGTATAAGAAAAACAGACCAAAACACAAAAACTTAACTATAACCACTGAACCATGAAAATGAGGTCAAGGTCAGATGACACCTGCCAGTTGGACATGTACACCTTACAGTCCTTCCATACACCGAATATATAGTAGACCTATTGCTTATAGTATCTGAGATATGGACTTGACCACCAAAACTTAACCTTGTTCACTGATCCATGAAATGAGGTCGAGGTCAAGTGAAAACTGTCTGACGGGCATGAGGACCTTGCAAGGTACGCACATACCAAATATAGTTATCTTATTACTTATAATAAGAGAGAATCTAACATTACAAAAAATCTTAACTTTTTTTTCAAGTAGTCAATGAACCATGAAAATGAGGTCAAGGACATTGGACATGTGACTGACAGAAACTTCGTAACATGAGGCATCCATATACAAAGTATGAAGCATCCAGACCTTCCACCTTCTAAAATATAAAGCTTTTTAGAAGTTAGCTAACGCCGCCGCCGCCGCCGCCGTAGCCGCCGCCGCCGCCGCCGGATTGCTATCCCTATGTCGAGCTTTCTGCGACAAAAGTCGCAGGCTCGACAAAAAACCAAAAAACTTGCGGAAATGATGGTATACCGCAAACAGAAGGTGCCAAAATTAGTACACCATATCCGGATTTCGACAATTAATGTCTCTTCAGTGATGTTAGGAATCGAAACGGTATTTTGAAGGCCATATAAATTACCTCAATTTAGGATAGACTCTTGAATTTTGAAGAGTCGAAATAGGATGAACGGATCATATAAACCCGAAGGCAAATATAATACAAGCACAAACGAAAAAATATAAATAAGTCTAAATTGAAAACAACGTTCAAACCTATGATTGCGTTTGATAAAAACCGCAATTTTTATTTATGTGCATGCAAAACAAATTTATTGGTAAAGGGGTCTAAATACAGCACAAACAACATTTTCCAAAAGAACAAAAAAGTGAAAAAGTATATTTAAACAAAACGCATTTGACTAACAGGTCGAACAACGGATGTTCTTAAACCCTGTTGACTGCCATTGGCAATTGCCAAAATAAACGGATCACAAGATGTAACAAAATGGATCCTTATTAATAATATAATACCCAACAGAAAAACAATGAACTTACGGAAAAGATGGTATACCGCAAACATGAGGTGCAAAAATTTGTACACCATATCCGGATTTCGACAATTAATGTCTCTTCAGTGATGTTAGGAATCGAAACAGTATTTGGAAGGCCATATACTTTACCTCAACTTAGGATAGACTCTTGAATTTTGAAGAGTCGAAATAGGATAAATGGATCATATAAACCCGAAGGCAAATATAATACAAGCCCAAACGAAAAAATATAAACAAGTCTAAATTGAAAACAACGTTCAAACCTATGATTGCGTATATACGTCTGAACCAGTGACGACTCTACAGCAGATTTTATCCATCGGACCACCAGACCAGCAGTGATGGTGATACAAGGCTGAAAATACATTCTGTATACATATTTCGTCTAAACAACAGCCTAACAATGTTAGATCTGGAAATTCGCGGAAGCAATTTTTTTGTTCTTCCCTGGCCGGGTTTCGAACTAATGCTACTGAGATATCGTGGCACCAAATCGCCTTGCACTATGCCCGACACGCTAGACCACTCGACCACCTAGGCTCTATAAAAATAAAGCTTTCAGTGGCCGGGTGTTACCTTTCCTCGTCAGTTTTTATCTAGCGTCGTAACACAGTACATGATATATAAGGCATGAAGATGGAATTGTTACAGATCAGCTGAATTTTCTATTGTAAAGGATCCTACAAATTAATGTAAGATGAAGTCACAGAAATAGTTATATTATAAGTACGTCTGAGCCAGTGACGACTCCACAACAGATTTTATCCATCGGATCACCAGCGGTGATGTTGATACAAGGCTGAAAATACATTCTGTATATATAATTCGTCTAAACAACAGCCCAACAATGTTAGATCTGTAAATTTGAAAAGATATGAATTTTGTCCACGCTGTGCATAAAATATGAAAAAAATAAGGCTGAAAATACGCTAAATATTTATATTCAATATGAATATTCGCATGAGTTCGAATCCCGGCCAGGGAAGAACAAAAAATTTGCTTCCGCAAATATACAGATCTAACATTGTTGGGCTGTTATTTAGACGAATTATAAATATATATATAAATTATATATATTCTCTCAAAAGGAGAAGTGCCGATTATGCAAAACATTTCCCACAAGGGTGAAAAGGAGTTTGAAACAAACTATAAAACTTATTTGTTTACATGCACTAGAACAGAAGGAAAAATCTTAAATAATCAAATAAAACAAAAAATCGGTTTTACAGCACCTCTGTTTCTTCCGCGCAGATTTGATCCTCTTCCTCTGCCTCTGTTCTTACAGGTTCTATTTATTACTGTCTGACCATCCTGTTTTAGCCCAGTAACTTAGCTGTAGCTCCAAGAATTCTATCAATAGAGCTTTTTAGATTTGCACCTAAGAATCCAACGCCATCAATACTAAGGTGGTATCCATCTCTGTCAAGGAATTTAGATTTCGGCGTGCCTTGAAGGATAAATTACTATTGTCACTGATTACCATATTACTTTTATTTCTGAGTTTTATTTTCACAGTAATGGTTAAAAGCTCTACTCGGTCATTGCATTCCAATTCATCCGACCTAGGCTTGGCTAATGATACTACTAAATTAAGGTCTGGAAATTGCATCTTTACTGATGATATAAGTTTTTCCCTAAGGACAGAACATTCCTGAACAGAGAAATTTCTTACGTCATTCGTTAGAATATGAAATACACTTGCTTTAGGCACACACATAAGGTTAGTTATAATAGTCATTGCCTCTGGGATTGAGTAAGCTACAGCCTTTATTGAATCACACTGCTCGTTCCATATATCTGTATCAATCTTCTGTAGATTTGATGTTCCAATAAATAAAATTTGTGGTTTTCTTGGTGTAGGATTTGAATTATTGTCCTCCCTCTCCAGAGATTTGACAACGGGTTCTAAAACTGGGGATTTACTTTTCACTACATCAAAATATCTAGGAGGCTTCCATAATGGGATTTTAATCCAATGATTTCGTCTTCCTTAGCACTTTAATCTCTATCTTTAGATGCATACGGTCGAGTAATGTTGCTCGCTCAGTTTCAATATCTTTCATGAATGTGTCAAGTTTTTTTTGTGTGTTCATGGCTAGAATTAATTGCTTGGAGTTATTTTCTAGCATTTCAGATTCAAAATTGCTATTGCGCAGCTTTCTCTGAAGGTTTTCATTTTCTTCCTCTAAAACTGTAATTTTAGTATTAAGTTTTTTGGCTGAGCCCTTATTTTCAAGTGCTAATGCCTTGATCATGTTAGAAGTTTCACTGGTGAGCTTTTCGACTGTTGAGGTTGTTTTATCTACGTTACCTTTGTGCTTTGAGAATTCAATTTTATAAACTTGATCCAAGTTTTCAAAGTTTCCTTTTATTTTACCGCAGCATTGTTCATGAAGTTTATCAATTGCAAGAGTTAGATTTTTTTTCTAGATTTTGTGCGAACTTTTCGTCTATGCCTACCGAGACTGATGATGGCTTAAACTGATTTGAAATGTTTCTTTCGGTCTCGAATACAGTCGCTGTGATGTTTTAATGTTTTCCTTATTATCATGTTCTATGTTAATACATTCAACATCCCTGATAAATATTGTATTGTCATTTTCATCTTTGTTTTCATGTTCCAAGGTTTTGACTGAAGTTTGGTCATCCTCAATACAAGTTTCTTTTGGTATTAACTGTGGATTTTTACTTATATTATTTACACATTCAAGCAGGATAGGAAAATTCTTTGTTTGCAAACACCTCGTAGTCATTGCCCTGACATTGAATAGTGCCGGTTGTTGCATGGAGCTTGATTTTGTAACATAATTCCTTATTCTCCATGTTAATTACCATTTATTATAATTGTTGCCTTTATTTGAACAATAATAGTTATAAATTGAAGCAATGAATAACACCTTTGGGTTTGCCAGTATTTTCTTGTAAAATAACAACTAAACTATCTTTAGGGAATTGAAATAATATTATTATTATTACATCATTACAATAAATAAAACTACAATATATAACGGTTTATATATATATAACAACAATATATAACAACATCTGATACACAAATTTAATAATACTTTTAGATATTTGGATGATATTTTGGCTCTCAATAATGACGACTTCAGTATGTATACTAAAGAAATTTATCCTGTTGAACTTACTTTAAATAAAGCTAATACTAACAATGACCACTGCCCTTTCCTCGATCTTGATATCTATATCATTAATGGAAAGCTTAATACTAAAATATATGATAAAAGAGATGATTTTTCATTTCCTATCGTTAATTATCCATTTTTAGATGGTGACGTTCCCTTGTCACCATCTTACGGTGTTTATATATCTCAACTTGTACGATTCGCTCGTGTATGTAACAATGTTTTAGATTTTAACGAGAGAAATTTATGTATTACTGAAAAATTATTACACCAGGGTTTTCGATATCACAAACTAGTCAAAACATTTACTAAATTTTATCATCGGTATAAGGACATCATTCGTAAATATTGCTCAACATGCAGACTTCTTATACGTTCAGGTATTTCACATCCAATTTTTTATGGAAATATTCTTTATAAAGCAAAAAAATGTCAGTATTCACCTCTGAAGCTAACAAAACCTTTAAATAGACTTATTAAGAAGGGATATAGTTACGATACTGTTGTCAGGTCATTAAAAATTGCATATTTTGGCGTTAATATTGATTCACTTATAGGGTCTTTGCATCGGCACTAAACACATTTATTTCAAAACCAGTTGTTGGCATGACACGGGTTATGTTCTTCTCATATATGTTATGATGGTATGATACTAAACCCCTAACGGGAAGGATTGTGCCTGATATTCATATGATGAAGACATAATCTTTCAATCAGTTTAATTGAAGTATGGAGCTGGCATGTCAGTTAACTGCTAGTAGTCTGTTGTTATTTATGTATTATTGTCATTTTGTTTATTTTCTTTGGTTACATCTTCTGACATCAGACTCGGACTTCTCTTGAACTGAATTTTAATGTGCGTATTGTTATGCGTTTACTTTTCTACATTGGCTAGAGGTATAGGGGGAGGGTTGAGATCTCATAAACATGTTTAACCCCGCCGCATTTTTGCGCCTGTCCCAAGTCAGGAGCCTCTAGCCTTTGTTAGTCTTGTATTATTTTTGATTTTAGTTTCTTGTGTACAATTTGGAGTTTAGTATGGCGTTCATTATGACTGAACTAGTATATATATTTGTTTAGGGGCCAGCTGAAGGACGCCTCCGAGTGCGGGAATTTCTCGCTGCATTGAAGACCTGTTGGTGACCTTCTGCTGTTGTCTGTTCTATGGTCGGGTTGTTGTCTCTTTGACACATTCCCCATTTCCATTCTCAATTTTATTCTATAATTTTTTGTTTGTGAAGTATTTACATATAGTTATCTGTAAAGCTGAGTTCAAATTCAAATCATAATCATGTTT